ATTACTACCATATTTTTATAGAGCGATTATTTTGCGATAGTTCACAAATAAAAAAAGAGATCAAAAAAAAAGTACAGTAAACGTACGCTAAAAAATCTCTATCGTGAAATTAGAAAAAAGGATAAAATAAAAAACATTTGTATATTCGATCGAATATAAACAATAAGAGTGGGTAATGGATAAATAACCTTTGAAAGTCATTCGAATCGATAAAATACAATAGTACTGGATAGATGCATTCTGATATTCAAGCATAAATCATTTAAATATGATATTTAAATCGAAATTATTTACAGTTTTATTATGAATAAATCATTTTGCTATTTATATCAAATTTAGCAAGACATAATATTTATATATTTATATAATTCATTTCGTAATCTACCAGAACAAATAACAGCCAAGTGTCGTTTATAGGAATTGAAGAAAAGTATTTTCTCAAAGTGTGAAACTTGCACGTACTAAGAAAGAACGGTTTGAAAGCATTAGGAGGGTGTGGAGGGACAAAGTAGAAGAAAAATTGTCGAGAGGGTAAACAAATAAGCAAGGTTATTTGAAAGAAGACACCCCATTTTCATCAGCATACCGTTTGAGTAAGTTCCAACGCATAGAATATCGTTCTGCTCGACGCGTTCTGCGTACGAATACGTATACATACATTCACGAATCGGAAAAAAGGGGAGATGAAAGAAGTAGGAGGAGGAGGAGGAGGAGGAGGTAGAAATAGAGGGAGATACAACAAGGATGAACCGCGAGTTTCCGTCTAAAGTGTTAAGTTATGGAGTGTGGTTTCAGAAATCCTTGAAGGAAGAAGAAGAAGAGGGATGAGAAAAAGAAGGATGAAGTAGGAGGATCTTCAGACATATGAGGACGATTGCTCGTCGTTCAGAAAAAGAGAAAAAGAGAGAAAGAAAATGAAAAAAGAAAAAGAAAGATGCAAATTTTCCTTGGTCTGACTCTACAAATAGCTAGACTTCCAATTCGGTCTTCATTCGTCAAACCTTCGACCTCCGAAGTGAAAAAAGGTGAGAAGGCTTTTTTTTCTACCCCTCTTCTCATCTATTCCTTTTTTACTTTCTATATTTTTTCTCTTCCTTCTCTCTCTCTCTTTCTCTCTCTCTCTCTCTCTCTCACATTCTCTCGCACACTCTTTCGCTATTTCTTCTTATTCGTCACGTATTCGGGCTAACAAGTTAGATTCGTAGCCGGAAGGTGAAAAGTAAAAGGGAAAAGAAGAGAAGAGTAGACTCAATAAGGATGGAAAAAAATCGCAAGCGAATCTTTCTTCGTTCCTTTTTTTTCCTCAAGCATACATACCATTGCTATTTCTGCAGAAACGAACCCGATGAAACGTATATTTCTTATATATGTATATGAGTTTCTTCTCTGTGCTCTCCTTGAACGTGAATAAATAAAGTGCTTTCTGAAGAGAACGCGAAAAAGAAAAAGAAAAAGAAAAAGAATAAGAATAAGAAAAAGTCGAATAAGTATAGTACTCGCGATAAGTTTTGCTAGCTTGGGGGACTCCGTACTCATAATAATATATCTAGATGAAAAACATCCGACGAATTACTATCGATTATCTTTTTCGTCGTGTTATTTGTACACATGGATACTCGTAGATTTTACACTATAAATCTTAATTTCAAGCAAAGAAAACAATTAACAAGAAGAGAGAAGGAGAGATAGCAAAAGAAAAGGTAAGAAACTCGAGAAAAAGAAACTTTACGGATACCATACAATTAACGCAGTCTAGCGAGAAAAAGAAAAAAGTCTAATTTGTGAGCGAGTAAATAGTTGGTAAGCAAACTATGTTGAAATGGGAAACAGTCGTAACGAGTTGGTACAATAAATTCACGAATTAAACCGCAATATATTAATGAAATAAGTAGAGAACTGTGACGTAATACTTATTATAAAATAATATTAATTTTAAATCGAGATAAATATTGAACTTATATAGGAAAACATATTATTTTAATTATTTATATGCGATAAATGTCTAACGAAAGAAAGAGAGAGAAAGCAAAAGAAGAGAAAAGAAAAATAGTTTCATGTAAAGAGACATATCAAAATAAAAGGGATAACACGAAGCAAAGGGGGGTGGAAGTACGTAAAGAGACTAGACGGGGGTAACATGTTCGTGATGTGTATCATGTACGCCTTCGTAATTAGACTCACAAAGCTTTCGGAGAGGTATGTAGGAGGTCACAAATATAGCACCGCAGACTGGTATGATGAAACGCAGCGTGTAAACCACAAACTGTACTAACGAATTTACCGATCTAGCTAGTGTAAGTCGACCAAATTACGAATCTACGTGTCGACAATGAAGGGAACGAGTTGTAAAAGATTAATGAAAAACATTTACTTCGCTTGGTAAAATCGTCTGGAGAATAAATGCGAAACGAAAAAATAAAGAAGAAGAAGAAGAAAAAGAAAAAAGAAAGGAAAAGATCAAATAAAAACAATGTTTCACTATGATTAATTTCTTTTTCATTCTTTTTTGATTTGCGTTCTCTTCTCGTTTGTTTGATTCATTTTAGAAAAAAAGAAAAATAAAGTAAAACAAATTTTCCTTTTTTTTGATACATGTGTTTATACGAGTTTAAATAATTTTAGATACACGTGTCTTTGATAAATTCGTATCTAATACATAAATCATGATATCGATCTCTCGTATGAAAATTAAATAAAAATGAATGAATTAATTGTGAAATTTGGGATAACGAAATGTACGATAGAATGTTCACGTAATAAAATAAAACTGTTAAGGTGTCAGCAAAGTTGTTTTAAATAAACTCCACGTCTCCTAGACTGAATGATTGTTATACCAGTGATGCGTACTGGCCGTAAGATTTACAAGAAGGATTAACATTTAACGACTTCATCGTTTCACTGGTACCTACACAGAGCGAACCGATCGTGCTTCGTCGTTATGGGTCCAGCGATGGAAGAAAACAATAAAAATAGAGAGAAGGAGAGAAAGCATCGTTAGCGCGAGTTACCCGAGGGAGAGAAAACAAAGAGGAAACGAAAAAAGGAACAAGGATTACGAGTTGTAATTCATAACATCGTAACCATTTTTTATCGTGACGACATTCGTGAGAAAGAATAAAAGAGAAACTAAAAGAAAGTAAACGCGGTGCTGCAATCCATGTAAACGAAAAATTATGAGTGTGGTAAACAAAATAAACTAAAAGTAATCGACGAACCCTACTATTCAAAATCGTCTATACGTTTTTTATTTTTATGATCAAACACGCGAACGAAGACAAATATTACAAATTTATGAAAAAAAATTTGACTGCGTCGAAAAATAATATTTGAAATAAATATAAATCGATAATTATTTTTTGTTCGTTTATATAATATATACATATTAATTATAATTGACGTCAATTGATAACGACCGTTAGATCTAGTGAACTATAAGAAATAAGGGAGCTAGGATCAAAGCATCGTTACTCTAACGATATTTTCTTTCAAAGTTACTAATATAATAGTCACGAAAATCACAAGGCAATCTCTTTTATATCCTACGTCAATGCATATGTTTACATAGCAAAGTAAATAAATCATTAACGCTTAACAAGCGACTCTTAAATTACGTATTGTTCTTCTTTATTGTTCAAGCATGTATTATTGTAGTACCTACCTACCACGACAAGAATCGAATCATTTTACTAGAGTTGTTCTATCGTTAAAAGCAAACAAGAAATAATAAATAATATCGAATAATGGAGGTAGATAAAATATTTGCTAAACAAAATTTGAAAAAATATTTCTCTTGGTGAATCAAAGTATACTTCTGATTATAACAAATCGGTATGTGTGCGTTTATATACCATAATACAAAGTAAATTTTTAAAAAGACAAAAATATTTACAAATGATTGGTTCATTATGCGAACGTATGGATATAATAAAATAAAGATAAATGCCGAACGAAAAAGGACGTAGTTATTCGTGCATAAATTAGAAACGTGAAATAAATAGCAGCGGCGCGTTTAATTAAATTTTGTCTCATGATATATGTTCCAGTTATTACACACTGTTCCTCCAAAAGCTCCCTCGAGTGAATTTGACTATTTATATACGTTTTACAACATTTAACATCTTTGCGATAAATAAGTCGATTTTGACTTTGTTTTCTAAGAGCAAAATTTTCCTTGGTCACAAAATTCATAAAATTGTAATTTAAAATAATATTCCACAAATAAAGGTTTTTACTTGATCATAGAGACTTCAAAATTTGAACAATGAGCAAAAATGAAAAATCATTTAGTACTTTTTCCAGGAATCGAATAAATTATTTCCAATTTAACGCATTAACGTAATAACTATTTCCACTTTTCAGGTCTTCGTACGATTAACGATAACTGAAACACCGGCAGTGCTTTTCTCAAGAGACTACGTGTGCGGAGCACATAATTTTTACTATAAACCCAAGTTATAGCGATAATACCCTTGGTGCGGAAAAAAAGTCTTAAATGAACCGAAGGTAGACATTTTTGCTCTATCGTAAACGAAACGTCCAAAGAGATCGTCGTCTCTACAATGCTCCACTCATTTTCCTCTTTCCGCTTTTCTTTTTCTCTTCTACTTTTTTAATTTAATCGGTCTAAATGTTCCTCATTCTCATTCTAATTTTCTTTTCATCTTTATTATAATTTCAACGTCAATTTAACCAATCAAAATATGTATGTCGCAACAGTAAAATAAATTAATGTTCCTATTTGTGCGTGAGTTATAAATACAATTGAATTCTTTTGTTTTTAATTTTGTAAATTAATACGCAGATGCGATAACTATGAAATCATTTTTTTAATAATAGTCACCAAGTAAAAAAATAGAGAAAGAAGAAAAGGGAAGTTTCGAGAAACTCACAGTTCTCGAGGTAGCTGAGAAATCAAGGAATTAAAATGCTAATGCAATATATGAAAGCAACTCGAAGCTTTCAGCCAGCTCGAATATGTTAATTTTGTAAAAACTACTCACCACCGAGATCTGCAAAGAAGATTTCGCGGAGTGCTAGAAATTCTTCCTCCGGCGGTATATCAGCCCTTCCAAAGGAATCGTTCTCTGGCCAGACTTCTCTGTAATATAATTTCGTTACATTTACTTGGACGTCTTTTACTACGAATACGACGATAAGTGCATGCCTTGCATTTGATTTTATATTAATAAATCGTTACGTACATTTCGATGTCACGTTAAACGTAAAATTCGAACAAACGTTTCAGAATTCACGATAGAAATAAATAATTTTGTTAGAATGCAAACAAAAAAAAATGTATAGTATACTTTGATAATCTTACAAATTATTCGATTTCGCATAATTAAGCATTAATTTTTAACAAACGTCGCCATTTTCTAACCATCGATATTCCCTACTGCGCCACGCAGTTAAAATCGTGGCATACCAAGTATATTACCCATTCACTGTTATATGCATAAATGCCGTTAATAACAAGCGATTACCAAATAATTGACTTACTGTATGCTCATTCAACGTTCGATTACACTTCATCGCACCTTTTGGTTTAAACAGATATGTATAATTGTTCGAATTAGTTTATGATAACTTGTGACCAGTTGTGCATACATTTCACTCAACGTAGCAGAATTTCAATACGCGTCACGTACTAATAATTATCAGGAAAAAAAAACAAGATTAAATAGTATATTATTTAACAGAGTAATTGATAATAGATGCACGGTTTGTAGATGTACACGCGTATATACTTAAGTAAATACATATAGATGCGTTATCGATAATACAATTATTTGTGTTAATTTACTACGATCTAATTGCATCTCTAATACACGTCTGATACGTGATTGATAGGACGTTACATACATTCATTTGAATAAATTACAATGCATTTGGATGACACATGCATCTATGTACATGCACTATATTCACATATACATGTATACATATATACATATATAATATTATACATTATATACATATACATACATAATTCAAGAATGTGTCAACTTTGAATATACATAATAATGCATTGTGACGTATTATCAGCGAGAGTACAAACTCTGATCTTTATCACAACCATAATTCTTTCTTTTCTCTATAAAAAGTATTATACTTAAAAGAAGTCAAGTATGATCTACCGATTATATACTCAAGATAAAAAAAGAGAATGGTAATACGAAGAAAACAAGGGGATAAGAGTCTCGACTATGCAAAAATTTGTTGTAATATTAATTCGTGTGACGAATGAATCACAAATATCAATAAAAAATTCTGATAATCGTTTCGTTTCCGATTGATCGATAAAATAAGTTCTGTTATGTTTAAAAAATCTTGTTCTATTTGATAATAATTATTACCGTTTTATTTTTAACGCAAGCGAAATTGTTGCATGATTAAAAAATTTATTGCTGGATGAAAAAGAATCTTTTTCTTTTATCCTTTAAGAATACTGAATCATATGCTCCCGAATATATAAAGCTCATATACATACACGTATTTAGGAATCCGTGTTTCGAGCAAACACGGAATAAGAAAATAATCAGGTGGCATGAGTTCTCGCTTAATAGGAAATAGAGATTAGGCGATCAAATAGAGCGTAAGCCATTTAACGCACACGACTTTCCTTATCTTCCGAGTAGAGGTGTTAGCAACTCGAAGGGAGGAAATTCGAAGACTAGAAGAGAGCACAGGGCATACGTGGAAGGTCTTGTGAACAATGCCACAATCTACACCAAGGTCCGACTCCTTACAAGTCAAGTGGTTCGCACCCTCCGAGAATCGCACCCTCGGACACTCTCGCGTTCCTGGTACTGCTTCAACCCCAACTATTTTTATCCTCTTTTTTCCCCATCTTGACACCATTGACCATAGTGTTACGTGCATTATTTATCCTAAAGTGTGCTCTATTTTTTATTAATATCTTATTATATTCATAACTATATATAAAAAAAACTAAAACTGTTTTTTCCTTTTAATTCAAACTGAAAAAATAATTATTTTAAAGTCGCTTTCCTTTTTCATTCATATATAATAATAGAAAATATGTAATTAAGAGATGTAAATAAAACAAAGTTATATTAATTACATTAAAATATTCAAATAATATTCGAATAATAATTGAATACGTGATACTAGTAAATTAATAGGTAATTTATTGTACGTACGTTAAAATTTGATGCAATCAAATGAATAGATAAAGAGAATACGGATGTTCAACTCAAGATAAAAATAAAGGAAACAAGGAGAAATAGGGTAAGAGAATTTTTTCTCTTGAAGAAAACTCACTGATGCAATTCACCTTACCTGAACATCTCCTCAAATTTATGGAGATGCTCGTCGTTCGACACTAAAGCGATCGCTTACATCATGATTTCATTGCACTTTCCATTCTAAGTCATTCTTCTCAGCTTTTTCTTTATTTTCGTAGTATTAAGGATCGATTTGTAATAAATATAAAAGTTCATGAAGATATAACAACGACTTTTTGACAAATATTTCGAACTTTTTCAATTCAAAACGCATTGATAACCAATTCCTTTCACTACAATCAAGAAGAAAGCTATCGATCACTTCTTATCAAGATCAGTAAAGAAGAAAGAAAGTAGAGAATGAAAAAGAAAATGAAAGAAAGTGGAAGAAGACTGGGAGACATTGCAATTCCATAAAAGCCGAGAGATGTCGTACCGTTTTAGGAAGCTTCTATTCCTCCTGAGAGCGGAGGAACATCGAGAGAAAGGTGAAAGTCTGCGTACGTGACTTGAGGACAAAGGTAAAATCACATCTTGGTAGAAGTCTCTGTAAAAGGGTATAGTTAATGGCAGAGCACTCTTAACCCTGACGCGCTCTCTGCTTGCCAGTGGGATGACTCTCTTAGAAAATTTCACTCGGCTTGAATTTTAATAAAAAAAAAAAAGAATAGAAAAGGAAAAACAAAAAAGAGAGAAAAAATAATAGACGAAAAAGAAAGAAAGAAAGGGAGTAATAAAGAAAGACAAAGTAACAAAAAAAAATGAAAAAAAAGAAAGAAAAAAATAATGAAAGTTAAGAGACGAGACGTCTTGCATCAAGAAATATACCAAAAGTCGAAATGAAGATGTCACAGTAGTGAGAGGAAAAAGTCAGAGACGTGAATCAAGGATAAAAACACGATACCAGCAGATTTGCCTCTAGGATACATCTATATTCTAGGAAGGAAAATTCTTTTGCTACTGTTACCTATTCCGTCACGATTTTCCAAATCTTTTGTACGAAGCTAGTGAAAGAAGAGAACATGCTATCTCGTGTGAACACTTTATGCATGAACAATATAAATCATTTGTGTTTTTATGTACCACTTTATAACCGTGTCACTGGCAATAACGAAATAAATAATATTTTTATTGACTTGAAACATATAAAAACGTCTCGTTTTCTTTATTAGAAAAAAATTAAATAAGTAATAAATTAATAATGGAAGAAAATATAATTCTAGGTCAACGAGTTTCGATCTTTCGACTTGGAAAATTGATTGTAATTGGTTCTCGTAGAAATGTTAGTTCCGAGAGGGAAATCAGACAGACGATTCGTTTCGTTTACATGGTAGGAGAAGCGTAATCCGTTATATAGTGAGCTGTCGCGTGGGTCAGAGAACCCTTGGTACTTGGGGAAGCTTTTCGAAAGTACGAAATCCCTAGGTTGAGGGTTGAATCCAATAAGCGGACGGTGCGGAGCTTCCGCAGGTGGCGGCGAAGCAAAGAAAGTACCGGTGGAAGTGAAGGTGGTGTTGGTGATAGTAGTGAGTTAGTGGTGTAGGGTAAAACGAAAGGGAGAAAAGAGGAACACAAGAGTGAGGACACACTCTCCGGGTGGTTGAAGAAGTGACTCGTATAGAGAGAGAAAGAGAGAGAGAGCTTCTGTCGGTGGCTGTCTGAATAGAAATTCACCACCATACAATCCCCATTATCCTTCGATTTGAAGTTTCACGACAAAGGAATCTCTCTCAGTAGACGCGCTATTCTAAAACGCCAACGCCAACGCCATCGCCACCGATTTTGCATACGATCGAACGAACAATTTCGGTATTGCCCGTAGGTGACGACACGTGAGAGTCCACTCCTCTCTTTTCGCCGAGATGCATCAGCGTAATTGAAAGAACAAAATAAATTGAGAATAACGTTTGATGACAAGGAAAGGATCCAAATATTTCTACCTATGAAATAGTAAAAAAATAATATTAAATTTGCATATTCTTATATATAGCTAACGGAATCGATCAAAATATTTTAACGTACGAAGTATTATACTATTAAATAATATTGAATTTACATATTTCAACCGGACAATATCTTTTATTTGAATCGTATTTCGTTATCTCCTGTGTGTGTTAGACGTAATATAATATAATATAAATACAGAAAATAATTCTATAATTAAAAAATCAAATATTGACAGAAAATTATGATACCTATAGACCCTCGCGGTATTTATTTTTTCTCATTTATCTCGTCGGTTTATCGAACATACTGAATATCCGAAGATTTTTATATTTGTTCTTGAATATCGTGTAGGGGGAAAACATTTGTATGTTATTTTGTACGTACGTATTAGTATATGTATGTGAACGGGTGTACATATGTATCGATTCTCGTAATATTCAGTAACATTGTGAATGTGTTATTAATATTGCCCGCACCTTACTCAGGTTACAGAAGGGTCGGTCAACAGACTGTCATTTCCTTTTATCCCACTATGTGCACAAGGTCGCCATAGATCGCCTCTCTTCCATTATATACTAGCAACGCTAAATCTTACCTCTCATAAACTGGACAAGAGAATATTGCAAAGGATCTTTTCGAGCGATATAGCTACGATCTTAGGTGAAACAAATTACATGAGGAAGGATAAAAGAAGAATGGAAACTTTCGAGTCATGCGACGATATGTAACTCCATTGAAAAAAGAATATTAGCCGTATAATAAAAAAAAAAACATATACGGCTTCCACGCAATATAATCATTGTTTAATCAGTTTCCATCTCTTCTATTTCTAAAAATGATACGATAACTAAAATATAATAACAAATAACAAATATTATTAATTAATAATATAAATAACCGATCACACAAGATATCTTTGGAATGGCGCATCAATTGTTGTATCTAACCGCATTGTCGCTGCAGTGGAATTATTGAACATTTTTAAATAACTATTATATATTTCTTTTAACAAAACACTCTGAGAACACTCTGAATACTTTTTATTCTTTACTCTCTATTCTCTATTCTTTGATTTTCCTTATTCTTTCTTATATTGATCAACTATATTGACTGGATTTTAAAGTTTTACTTTAGAAAGAAAAAAAATCTATTATGCGAAGTTAAAAAATAACAACTTGAAGACGAACTTTTGATATAGCATAGGTAGGTACCTACTTGATCGGTGCTTCCGAAACCATTTCGTTAGGAAATTATTATTCCATCAGAAATGGTGCTTCAGCATAAAACGAAACCGCGAGATGGAGGTACCAAAAGGATAGTTCTGGAAAGTATAGCCGTGGTTCAATTCAGGAACCTCTCTTCGATGGAAGCTTCCCTATTCTACACTCGGGATCTCAACGAAGTAACTTAGTTGTTGTTCCATCAGACGAGTTACTTTTCTACAAAACGAAACTGCGATGTTAGGATAGTTTCTCAAGTATGACGATGAAGTCCTATACGATAGGGTCGATCCAATACATGCCAGCCTATCTGTTGAGTATTCCATACAAGGGAATTTATTTTAGCGAGGAAAAGAAAAAAGAAACAAATTAATTGCTCGTTAAAATAAATATACATATATATAATATAGACTTTAGAGATAAAGAAAAATTAACATCAGGATAAATCAATAGAACGGAACAAAAGAGTCTCTTTGTTCCGTTGACGAGTTTGCCCGCAAAGAATAGCTTTCATCAGACAGTCGAAACGACGATTAAGCTTTCGAGGTGGAAGGGTAACCGAGGTGGAAGATAGAAACAAGTTGGCGAAGGGACACACGGGCGCATTTGTAGATGGAGAACTTCAAAGACCTGGATAGGTACCTACCACCAATTCACCTCGATGAACCGTTGTATACTCTCGCGTTACAAGAGCCGTGCATCCCTTTAAGATTTAATGTAATGTAAATATCTGCGGTAGTGTAAACGCCCGACTGTTCGTTGCTTAATTGCCCAGGTGATCGAAAAGAGTGAATGTTGAGAGAGTCTGAAGGGTTCAATAAAACAGGCGGAAAAACGGAAAATGGAGGAGAAAGAGAAAGAGAAAGAGAGAAAAAGAAAAAAATAATCGAGTAATAGTTCGACGTAGACATTAGGATTAAATAATCATATGATAGCGTGAAGGAAAATTTATCTCATTTAAACGCGAAACATAATAATATTAACAAAATGTAGATCATTCTATTTATAATATTGTTCGATGTAAAAACTATGATTTAACGAGACGATTTTATTATAGGGCCGTTTTCAAAAAGCTATGCAAATACTTCCGGTTATTTTATGCATTCGCCTAATGTACTTGAAAAAGGTGAGCGAAAGGTAGAGGGACAGCCTTGAAAAATAAGATTACGTTAGCCTGAAGAGTCCATGTAAATTTTGCTACGAACTTCATGCAAATGAGGTGCCTAAACTTTGGAAGGAGAATCAAAATAAAAAAAAAAAAAAAAAGGGGGGGAAAAGAATAAAGATTCGAAAAGAGATTATATTTCGCGCGAGGCTTCGCACATAAATAAACCGATAAAGAGTCTAGCGTTTCTCGTTTGCTTTTGTTTTGTTCTTTGACTCCCGTAAGCTTCGATTCGTGAGATTTTATTTTTAAGGCAGCGTTTACGCCGGTATTAAAAACTATTCGGGAGTCCCAGTCAAAGAAGAAAAGCTTAAATGGAAAAAGAACAAAAGGCTTTGGCGTGAATTTATCCGAGCACGAACCTCGTCCTAGCTGCATTTTCTAACGGCGGTGGTCAAAAATTCATCGGTTGTACGAGAATAAATCCGAACTTTTCGTTCACTTTCTAACCCCATTACACCGAAACCCATTGTTTGCTAAAACAAAGCTTCCACGAGGTCGGCTTCCCCGCAACATCGAGGTTACTCCAAGCCACTCACCATCTACCGTCGGAGTATATTGTGCTTTGCTGAAAAAAGACGAGGGTTCCTAACAAAGAAAAAGGTACTGGGCTTTTTCCTGAATACATTAGAAGACGAGTCGCGCCTCGCGTCACCACGTGAATTCACGATTATATGCTCTAATTGGTCTGACGTAACCCCAGACCACGATGAAGGAAGTTCTTTCATCGTAAACTTCAAACAACAAGAATTCGCATGTAGGAGTGCTGTAAAACGCGTGCGAAAAATTCCAATCGTCTATAGAAAATATAAAACACCAAGACTTTACAAAATCAATTTGCTTGGATTTTTTTAAATAAACATTCTAACGGTATTATCGTATTGTGTGTCGCAAATAATAAGTTATTTATTAATTAATAAGTAATATTCGGAAATATATTTTTACAAATTCTTACCGACAAGCTCGGAAAAGTCCAACGGCATTCTCATAAAACCTCATTCGTAATAGTTTTTGAATTTTCTTCATTGCATCACTCCTAAAAACAAATTTGATAATTTTGCATAATATTAAACCAAATGCGATAAATTGTAACAAAACGAATGAAAAAGAAGTAGATATACTTTTGATCGTCGACGGGTATGTCAAGTGTAGCGTCAAACGGTATCATTTCCGGTATCGTGACTCCTTGCATCACCACAGATAATTCCGGAGCCAGATCGTCCCAACGATCCTCTAAGCTTGGAGCAGGTGTTTCTTCCTTTCGTGATACAGCTAGAAAAGTTGGAGAGAAAATATTAAAGAAAAAAAATAAGAAGAAAAAGAGAGAGAGAGAATATGACTTTAAGAGGCACAAACTTTGTACAAATTCACAACATCTTACGTTTGTGCTTTCTACTTTTCTGCCTCTTTTTCTTCAACTTCTGTACTATAAGACTTCGTTGTCCCTTGGCGCAGAACTGTTCCAACATCTTTAGAAAAATGTGGGCGGTCGTTACTAGGTCGATCAGGTATTTCCTGCAAACGTGAAGTTAAACAACATATTTCTTGAGATCCTCCTTGGGGCTCTGTGGTACCAAGATAATAAGATCTTCTGTGAGCTGACACAATGCTAAATAAGATGTCTCGCAGCTAACCCAGTTCTTGCGATCCATATCTTTGAAAAGGAATTCTCGTTTTGCGGTTAAAAGAATGGAAATGGTACTTGGACAATAATGATCCGTAAAATATAAAGTGATTGGACTTTGTGTGCGTTTGATATAACGAAATGAAAAAAGTAAAAAAACAAAAAGAAAAAATAATTTAAAAATAAATGAGTAAAACAAAGTTACGAATTGATTTCATTTTGATGAAAAATGTCTCGACCAAAGACTACGAGTATCTTATTAAATATAAAATAGTAAACCTTTAAAGCAACGAGACTATAAACAATAAGGGCAAACAACTACTCGACGACAATGCTAGCCGCCGAGAGTGGCAACAGCAACGGTTAATTAATCAATTTAGACTGTAGGGTGGCGGGGTGCTGACGGAAAAGTTTGACAGAGTCTTCGGAACTATGTTTTCCTCGGCATCGCCGAGACGTCAAAGCGACGAGACGATATCGCAGTGGTACACCGCGGCGCCCTTACATTTCCGTCGTAGAAATCCCAGGAAAAGCCGTCAAACTCGTAGCAACTTGAACACCCACCGCCTTTCCCTATTTCGCTTGGCCGGAAGGTCGATAAAAGTTGTTTATTCCGGCAAGAAACGCAGAAAAAGAGGAAAAAGGGAGGAGAGCTATTCGACAGAAAGAAGAGAGAAAGGGATAGGGGATGAGAATCGGTGAAAAGAAGAAAAGAAATAGCTAAAAAAGGATAGTGCTGTGTTGGTAGAGGTGGTTGAAAAAAAAAAAGAAAAAAAAAAAAGGGGAAAAAAAGAAATACAGAAAAGAAAAGAGGATGAAGAGGGAGGAGGCACGGCAAAGAAGTCGACCGATTGATCTGAAAGTGAATCAATCTGTCTGCGATAGATAAAACTTTCGGTAAACAGTTGGTTTTTTGAGCTCGACAATGGCAGACAGATCAATAAAAATGGGCTCGATGTCGAGAAACGCGAACAAGATAAGTACGCTGACGGATGTAACGCCTTTCGCGTAAAATTGAGAACAAGCAAGAAGCGAGATTCGTTGAAAATCAAAGAGAAAATATATTTAAGTTTGGAAAACTCAACGGGCCAAGTACTCGTCGTTCGCCGCTCCGCGTTTCTCAAACTTTTCAATCTCGTTACTGTCTCAGAACTTGGCAGACCATTTGAAACTTATTAATTACTTCTGCCAAGTTTTTACTGTCGCCTAATTTTAATTACAGAACGTAAGCTCTAAGACCGACTAATGACGCCGAGTCCCTTGGTTGCTCGCGCTTGATTTTTACCCTTCGATCGATCAAACGTAATAATACGACAAGGTATATTATATTAACGATGAAAACGTTATTCAAAGCATCATGTTGCCGCATTAAATGTGATACAAGGATATTTATTTCTTTACCAACCGTGACATCTTGAGTTCGTCGAAATTGAGAAGCTGCGAGAGTATCGTTTCCCGATATTCCGGAACATAAAACACGTTGCTTTTAATGACCTTGCTAGGTTCTCTTATACTTTGATCCGGACTTTTATCCATCGCCATTAACGTATGAAGGAGTTCCTAAAATATTATACGTCAGTTTTTGACAATTTCATCAATCATACCTTTTATCCCTCACTCTCCTCACCTTATATGCTTTCAAAGCTAAATGCAATCTGTGAGACCATATCCGTATCCTTTCCTTATCAGTAAGGATCATCTCATAATACAGACTCATTTGTCTTTGTATTATATAAAATTCTTCCGTGGATATCGTTTCGCTGTGAAAAAAATTAAATAGATATGCCTGCCCCATCGGCGTATTCAGTAAAAATAGTAAATGAAAAAACCTTTGAATCATAGAAAATTTTTCTTTTCTTTTCAAATCAAAAAAAAAAAGAAAAAAAAAGCAAACGAAAATGGAATTGCATTCACGCACGAATTGATGGCATACGAAATCGTTGGGAAAATTTAAGCCCCGAAGCGTACGTTGCTTAAAATCGAAAACAAGACGAGTTGGAGAAAAAGAGAAAAAGAGAAAGAGAAAGAGTATATACGTATCTGGGTATGCATATACTGTTACGGTAGAGAACTAGAAAGTGCACTTCCTACAGACGCATCCAAAAAAGCGACGATGCGTAAAACGAGTTCGGAAACTCGTTCTCCCGGCGCTTATATCGAGCAAGCAGCCACTCCACAACGAGAGGATCTCCGTGACCTTCAGTATACCGAAAATAAAGTCATCTCCTTCCTCTCCATTGACATTAGTTATCTCTCTCTTTCTCTTTATCTCTCATTTACTCCTGAAAGTGAGTATTTATGTGCACTTACCACACGTATTTTACTTGAAACTTGTAACATCGATTAAACTCCATGAAGAAACGTAACGCCCATAAATAACAACTGCTCTCCGATGTATTGCATTGAACGTCACTGATAATACACGACTTAGCGTGTTTCATTACTGGATTATACACGCCATTGAGAAATTCCACGCAAAATTCTTTCAAGAAAAGTCTTACGCTGAGAGCTGATACACGTTCGTGCATTGAGTCCGCCATCGCTAGTCTGTTCTTTGGTTTCTTTACTTTCGTCTATAGAAATTAAAAGATTCGGATAGGTAGGTTACTTGGAAATTCGAGTATTTCGATAAGAAAAAGACCATAAAGAAAAGCACGTAGGAATGTTATATAATGTAGATAAAAAGAAGTAAATAGCATCGTTCAGTCGTAATGGCGTGATCTACGCTCCCGCTAAAAATAGAAGGGAAAAGACCGAGTGAAGTGGATGTAAGAAGAGTGTAAAAGTCCTGCATAATAGGTATTACCGACACCTCCCTAGAATGATGCTTTCAAACACCCATGAACTAACCCATGGACGTGAGCTACGAGCAAATTTATGACGGTACATAATGAAAACGTGGCACGTGGATACCAGGAAAAGTTTTGCTCTTCTCGAAGACTGTAGATAGGATAGTAGAAGGTAATAGCAACGTAAGAGAAAGTGAAATAGAGAGAGAAAGAGAAAGCAGGATAGCACTTTGCAAGATAAAAAGAGAGTAAGAGACGCAATCTAGACGTAAGAATACGAGACAGAAGAAGTGGAGTTTTAAGGAGGATGCATGGGAAGAATAGCTGACCCACTTTGAAATGCTTCAAAATGCTATTAAGGATAGGCCAAACTCTAATTACGCAAGGATAACTCTAATTAACAAGCGTATTTTCATTCAAATCCGAACAAGGCTCTTCTCACTTACTCGCTAATGAAAACTAAAGCGAAAAGCCACCTACGTAATTGAATAAGCCATTTTCCTTGCGCGTTTTCATTCTCACTGTTTCTTTCTCTTTATTATTTTTTTTCTTTTTATTTTTCCTCTACGAGATGCATTTTATAGTCAAATAAAAACTGCACAGAAAGCACCGTTATCAAATGTTTTTAAAATTACATACTATACAATAGTTTGCATTCTTCTCACTTACCTTTTGGGAATTAAACTCGAGTGCCTCAACTTTTTCATAAGGCTTGTGACACAACATCTGATTATCTCCGATTGCCTTCATATTCTGCACCACGTAGGTCCCGCCAAAACGCGAATGCCTGGAAAAAGAAAAAAAGTGTTTAACTAACGTAAATTTAAAGATTTTCAATTATATTTATTATAATATATGACTCTTCTTTTTCATTTTCAAAGAATTTACAAGCACGACGGAAAACGATAAAAGCATCAAGCGTATATTGTTAGCTTTCATCGAAGTGAAAAGTATTTATTATTCATATTCGTAGAAAGTGTTATTCCATAGAAAAGCTCATATAGAAAATGCAGAATAAATGGATACATTTAAAGTAAGAAAGGACTTCTCTAAGGATAAGCAAAATAGATGCGGCAACTTTCAATCTCTGATCGAAGATAGAAACCCAGCGCTCGATTCAAAGTTCGTAAGTAAGAGAGAGCTTATCATTCAAATTCAATTTTATCCATAACTCCTGAAAATCCAATCAATGGAATAGAAGACGACTGTCACCGGCAGATAGTTTCTTAAATGACGAAGGCAGCCTTCTTCTCTTTCTCCTATTTCTCGTCTCTCTTTCTTTCTCTGATTCCTTCTCTGTTAACTTCTTCCTCTCTCTCTCTCTCTCCCCTTCTCTTTTTTTCTTTACAACACTCCCGCATACTCTGTCGATGAATTCATTTACGCGATATTTCTACCCGAACTATTTTCCAATCATCATCAGTTAGATTTTTCAAACTACAATATACTGAAAGATCGATGCCGAACTTGAACCATTCGAAGAATTAAACTTAATCATTCGAGAGAAAAGATATTTTTTCTACCTAAATATATATTAAATAACTAATACGATTCCATAAAAAGTTGATATTACACAAACATAGAAAATATTGTAAAAAGAAAAGTGTAGAATCATCGTTTATTTTAGACTTGACTTTATCCATACAACGGTTCCATTTGCCCATCGTACAGCCGACTTTTACCCCCTTAACCCCGAAGACTCACGAAACAAGAGTAAAAAGAAGGAACCCCAGGACGGGTTTGCGTCTCGATTCTACTGCTCCTGACTCGTAGTAGCTTGGTCGTTTTATCGTTTTCCGATCGACTTATCCCAGCATTCGACCATGGGTAATGGGGAGAAAGATAAAGTAAAAAGAAAGGAAAAGAAAAGAAGAAGCGAATTTTTTCACCCAATCCCCGTTTCCTTTTAAGTCGCAAAAAGCATTTCGCGTTGAGCACACGGCCACGCGAGAATGGAAGAAAGCGAAAGAGTGAGAAAATGTGTGTGTGTGTGTGTGTAAGAGAAAAAGAGGGTGCCCTGAACGACGAAGAAGCTCGTTACTAGAATACAGCTCGCTTCTTCCCAACAAGTGGATAAAAGCCTTCTATTCGCGCGCGTTCAAACCCGGCGGTCCTATCTTAAAAAGTAGGTCATATTCATTACAACATACACGTCGTCGTCGTCGTCGTCGTCGTCGTCGTCGTCGTTGTCGTCGTAGTACGAAAGAAGCAACACTAGTCGGAGTAACATGAGCAAGAGAACGATCACAATTCAGTCAAAAAGGTATCCGGTGTTGAGTAGCAGAGTCATCAGCAAGCAAGCTCTTCTATGCTTTTCTCACACCGCATTTGTGCTACCTTGGCACTTATACTCATTGGACCGTTAAAATGAAAACAGTTTAAGAGAGAACATTCAAATTTACGAATCTAGAATTAGGACAAAATCAATCTTAAATAAAATAAATAATCAAATTTAATATTTGTAAAGTATAATATTAAGTATCTTTAATAAGACATTTTATTTTAAATTTGATTTGAAATGATTATTATCAGTTTGCTGATTGTAAATAAGTTTGAACTTTATTTTATTGAATTCCAGCAGTTTGCTGAAATTAAATTCAATTAAACGTCAATATTCCATTGTTAAGTTGATTTTGTTGAAAATATAAAATATTTATAGTTAGCTAGTAGAAACACTTAATATTTTACAGGCGTTTAAACGTTTTATGTTATATCCAACTTCCTATTTCATTTGAGAAACGTTTTCGTCAAAATCTCTGATTCATAATTCTGAATGTCCTCTTATCAAAGCCAGAAGCGGTAGAACCGCGTACTGTGCAGTTCACCGCATCGAGTCTGGAATCTTTTCGGTTTAATACGTCGCCGTTTCGTGCTAGCATGCGCACACGATGGAATGAATGAAATGAATCGAGGAAAAAGACGCGACACCCCATATCGGTATCTATGAAAAATGAATTGCCACGAATGAAAAAAATATTCTATGTAAAGGTTTTTCTTAAGAAATGCGACGTTGAATGTATTTGAATTACAAAGTGATTCGATAATTTCGAGGTGGTATTTTAATATAACGCGTTGGATAAGATCTAATATAAATAAGAATTTAAAAATAATGAATAGAAACGAGAAATCGGGTTACGTACAATTTAGAGCGTAAAATTAGAGAATGTCCACAATGTTTGTAAAAAATAAAATATATTCCTTGAAGATTTCGAGTATCATTCACGAAAAAAAAAGTTAAGGAATCGTACGGAAAGGAAGGAATTTAACTTAAATTAATGTATTATGAATTTAATAGCGAGCTCGGAGCTTTTTATTGCATACAGAGCTCTGAAAGTTTTCTTGAAAAGCCTTAAGAAGATGAATATGAAAGCGATAAAAATCTGACCCAAATAAAAAGATAAGATCTAAGAAGGTATCATCTTAAAATCTTATTCATACAGTCATATGAATTCTCATGTTATGTTATTAATTATAAATTAACAAAAAAGTGGATCACGAATCGAACGAGATTCGAAGTTAAGTTTTTGTATTTATATTAGTGTTTATTTATTTAGCTACTTACTTTTTCGTAGCATTTCATATAAATATAAATTTTGTATAATGATAATCCTTACCTGGCACCAGCATACTTCTTTAATTTTTCAAATTTTTCCAATTTTTCTTTCTGTCTTATTGATAGTAGATGTGCTTCATCCTTTGCCTTTTCTATTGTACTACGCTGCAAACCTGCTGTTGCCAATTGGCTTGCATTTTGATCACATAACATCAATGATATGATCTATAAAAATCATCATAATATATTATTTAATATATATACTATTAAATTTTAATAATGTAATCTATAGTAACAATACATACCTCCAAAATCTGCAAGTGGTATTGTTGTTCTTTCGCACTGCTAGCAATGAAAAGTAATATGTCTACGATACCAGATGCATGAAGCGCAAATAATACCTAAGAGTAAAAAGTATCTTGTAAAATAATTTTTTCGATTATTATAAGAAGAAACATTATCACTTGATAAGTAACCTGATCATGAATCGTAGCATCATTATCAGGACGCTTTTCATTTTCATCCGGAGGAACTTGAAGTACATTTCTGATCAGCGCTAAGATTCTTTCAATGATCATCTCATTTTCTTCTCCCCTTTCTATATTATCCTATTATAATATATATATAATTAATTATTTTAAATAATTTATCACATAAATAAAACATTTTTAACAATTAATTTAAAAATGAAACTTACAATACTGAAGATAGCGGTCAAGCGATTATTAACTATTTGCCATACTTGATCGTCTGCTAAAGCTACTTTGTAACTTTGCAGATATGATATAATTTGTAAATAGTAACTGCGCATAGTCTTCTCCATAGGAATTTTTTCATTATATATTAACAAAGCGGGACTTGTTAAATTAATAATTAACCTGATAAATATAAAGTTTACGCTTACATATTACATATATATAATTATTTGTTATCTAAGCCTATATATAATATAAAAAATAACCTTAGTAACACATCCCACAAATCTAGTTTATCAGAATATTGTACAAAAATTTTAAGAAGATCTGATTGAAGTAATTTTGTCTGACCAAGGTAACGACGTATGGTATGAGTTTCATCATCCCTTTTTAAATATTTTATCAAATCCTTTATAACATCTAGACAATATTAAAAATAAAATCTTTATCATATCATCCTTATTAAGTTATATCAATTATATTTAATCAGCTCACCTAAACAATTTTTATCCAAATAATACTTTTGCCCATCATAATAACCTAACGCAGCACAAGTAGCTGCTAACTCCGCAGATATATAATCTGTCATTGTTGTATTAAACTATTTTAAAGGCAATTTAAGCCAGAATAATAGATTAGTACAATGATCATTTGCTGCATATATTTAAAACAATTATTATTACAAGCAAATCTAAATAAATTTAAAGGATACATATAATATGAAAGAGTATATAATATAATATAATATAATATAATATAATATAATATAATATAAATAATAAATAATAAATAAAAAGATAATGTTTTTTAATATTTATGAGCATGAAAATTAGCTTCACACCAGATTTATTTCATTTAATATATATTTTTGACATAATTACTACAATACCTTAAAAAGATAGTATTCCAGCGGTGAGGTTAGAAACTTGAGAACAATACACGTTGTAATAAGAAATTCCGACAACAAACTAATTTTATCAAACAAAAACACTTTAATTTATTAATAAATATTAAAATAATTATTTTATCACTAAATTAACACTTAATTAACTTTTTTTAAAATGTAATAATCTTATATAAACAGACAGTACATGTATACGAAGCAACAGGTGAAAAAACGCGGGAAAATTTATTGCATAGGATGTCAGAATAACAGTTACTGACCAATAAGAGGAGAAATAATAGATGCACCTATCAGAAACGAAAAATTAATATGATCACTGTGTGTCACTAGGATAATTGTCCTAAATTCAAATTTATAGTACGTATAAACATATATTTAAAAGTATTTAAAAAATTTATATATATAGCTAATTTAAAAATTATGTTTATTAATTATAAAATTTCCGCTAACTTTAAATGATGATTAACAAAATTCAAGAAACATTTTTTTAATTAAATTTGATCTAATTAATCAATTTAATATTTATAACTATATATATAATTATAAATTATTATGTATATATATCAGAGCTCCTCAAACTTTTCCACTTGGCGACTACCACTATCGAAGCAAATACTTCGCGACTCTGAATATAGACTTTATATATCTTCTTATTCAATATCATAAACTCACAGACATACTATATATACATATAGTGCTGCTAAACTCTTTTTAAATTAATTTTCATCCAGAAATTTACTAGTTTTATTAAAATATCTATGACTCCATGCTGTGTGAAGAGTTCTAATATACATTATGTATATATACTATATATATAAATATAATTTAACTATATTCATGATATTCAAAATATGAAAAAAACTTGTTTCAGTTATGCATTAAAATGCGAATAAACTTTTTCCCCTAACCCAATATAACATACCCCATGACTTTATCTCTCTCTACAGTCATTTAGAATGTAGATACGCTCATTTCTGCTCGTTTCTGTTTGTTCCTGTTCAGAAGAGAGAAGTAGGTTAAATGAGGAAGGTAATGGAAATCGATATTTCCATCGATAGGAAAGTTCTTCGAAGCGAACACAAACGTGAATGCAATCATGGCATTGCTTTTTGACCGATCGATCCGTGAGATTTCGTATTCCGAACTAATGCAGGAAGTAAAAGTTTCCAAACGATAAAAATAAAGCTCTTTATCATTTTAGTAACGGTTGTTGCAATGTTATTTTTGGTAAGCTTACTGAAGAGTCTAAATTAATAAACGTTTCTTTCGCGAATATGAGCAAACTACGTTAAAGATAATTGAAGTTGAGCGAGTCTAATTTTTGCTACAAAATTCATTTATCATCGATCTTAAGATTTACTTGTAAATATTTTCTTTAGAAAGTTAAATAAGTCTATGAAAATTTTCTCTTGAATCTAATAATATCCAGATCAAAATAAATAATAATTTTACATATTCGTTTAAATATAATATTTTCAATATGAAATAAATACTTCATATAGAGAGAATAATATTACGATATAAGAATATATAATATAATAATAAATATTATTACGAGCACACACATAGGCCTGAGTCAAAGGCCATTTCCAGGCGACGGACCGTTGACAAGAAGATGATCAACAAAGATCTTGACGAGAAGCCGCGGTGTTTAGACGTACTTCAAAAGCGTGGAATTGTTCCGGTAGATTTAGACATACGAACTAGAGAGCTCACATCGTGTTAATTACTGTTCCGTCCCGTTGTTCTGCTCTTTGTACATTAAGTTTTGTTGAGTTCTCGTTGTAACCCTGAGTGGTGACTAACAATATATTATGCATATATGATAAATCACAAGTTTGATAATCTGGAAAAGAATAATAGGTCATATATATAACATCGGCTTTGGTTTAGAAGAGTTATCGAAAGACTTTTATAATATAATTTATAGTACTTTCAGAACACACACCTTAGTTTATACACCATATGTCACAGAAAAGGTGACTTTATATACGAGCAAGTAAGACTAAAAAAAATAGTTTTTATAGTATAAAACCATACTTTTTCATACACATACACACATAATATAATCGTTTTATATCTTAGACCAGTCAAAAAGAAGCAAACTGGAACTTTTTTAGGTGGCAAGTTAAAAATCTCATCAAAGGGTAATTCAACGACGCTGAATCGAATGCTGCTAACTTTCTTGCACTAGGATGTGCAGTTTTTAAAAAAAGGGTTGAAAAGGGTAACAAAAGTCTGTATCTAGTAGAATCTAGTTAGTTTGCCTCTTTTTGACTGGCCTAATCTTTTTATATTATTTTTTAAACGCAACGTTTTACAAATACATACATGTCCATAAAGAATAAGACGAAGGACACAAAAAGAATTTAAGAAAGATTAAAATCTTTTTCTAAGTTTTCCAAGTATTATAGTTATTCGATATCGCTCGTCCACCGTCCAATAAATCTTTCGAGAAATAGACAGGAAAAGTATGACTCTCTTGTGGATACAAGACTAAAAGTTATTGTCGCATTGTAACTTTGAATTTGTACAAAGCTTGCACCAGTAGAATTACCAGTGAATCGATTTGCACGAGTGCATCGACCGTTCATCCATAGAAATTTATTCTTCCAATTACGGAATATAAATGAGATTTACATACATGCATTGAATGTCACGAGCCCAATGTTGATTTTTTTATATTGAATATGTCAATGATATTTTATTACATTTATCTATACGCGATCCAAAAGATAAATAATAAAATAACATTTGCGATCAGTTAGATAGATATTAATCCAATAAAATATGTAATATAATTATACGAGAATAGCACTTTGACTTTCTACAAATAAACTTTCATTATACTAATGTTTATTTAATGTAATATAAGCAGAACAACTTTGGCTACACCCGATAGTAGCAACAAGAACAATACATTCACCCTGTCTCGTATATTCTCCTTACTTTGATCGATGCTCGGGAAGTTCTCATCGATTATTACCAAAACTACAACTACGAAAGTCCAAACTTGTCATCAGATAACGCTCAGTTCTCAAGTAAATGCAGCTACTCGCGAAGTAAATTCCAATTTATTTTCCTCTGTCCAGAATTCAAGAATATATCAATAAAATATCTACAGAGATCCATCTCCCCTCTCTTCTATTCTATCTATTCTTCTTTTTCTCTCTTCATTTCCTCGCTTATACTGTTCTCGATTGCGAATTTGTTTCGTCAAGCGTGGACGTACCCATCACAGAAGTCGCTTTTTCTATCGTTTTTTCGTTATTTTTTCTTCCCCTGTAGTCAACATGAAAGAGAAGGGATCAAGGATCTCTATTATTTCGCTATAATGCAAACCTACGTTTTCGATGAGCAATCTGCTTGAGTAGACATTGTCCACGAAAGAGGAAAATAAAGCCATAAATCCAATTCCTTCGTAAGGAGAAAAGTCAGGAGTGAGTGCGATAAACGGAGAATAGAAGTTACCAACGGTTAAGGGCAAAGGGGAAATAGAGATAGAGAGAAATAGATAGATATATATAGAAAGAGCGAGAAAGAGAGAAAAAGAGAGAGAGAGAGAGAGAGAGAGAGAGAGAGAGAGAAGGATAGTGAGCAGCAGAGGGTGAATGATGTGAGAAATCGAAAACAATGGTCACGGCAGAATCGTGAGAAGGACGATGAAACTGGTGTCCGAGAGCAGTATGGGACAAACAAGCGATGACCAATCAATATCAACGAGTGTATATACGTATATCTAGGTCATTGGGTTATCCGACGAAATCGTTCGCACCTGTTCGTTGATTTAACTCATTCTATACGTTCGTGTTGTTTTTTATTCCCTCCAATTTTTTTCTCATCTTTTTTACGCTTCTATCACACGCGATGCGAACCGAGACATACTACACATAAATTATTTTCGTTAGAACAAATTAACAAATCTATACAGTGACTCATAACACATCCTCGTGATCTAATCACAAAAATTATTTAATTACATATTTTTTAATTATCTTTTAAAATACATTCGTTCGATGAATTTGTATTTATTAAGAAAAAAATGTAAGGAAAAAATAAACAAGAAATAGAAAGATAAAATAATGTTTCTGTAATATCGATGATATATTTCTGAACAACCCTGTACACCATCTCGATCGTTTTCTAACAATGTATGACCACGCGTAATCGCCTGCACAGAGCGCATACGAACCCACGCCAGCGAATTTCACAGACCGAGAAAAATCATGGGAAATTTCCTGCGGTTAGACGTCGGAATCGATTGCGCCATCCTTGTGAAAGTAATTTTTGTTCTCTTTTCTCCCTTCCTTTTCTTTATTCCGTACTCTTCTTTTATCTTTCTCCCATTCTATCTCTCTCTTCCTCTCTCTCTCTCTCTCTCTCTCTTTCTCTACCTTTTTTATTATTTTCTTTTTTTATTCGAGAAATTCGATAATACATGGGAATAACTTTTTTATTTTTTCCTAACCATGCGAGATGACTTTTTACGTTCGAACAAACGTATAGATTACTATGGTTGTTGATCATTAATACCTATGTTACATATTGACGATTTATTAGAATTTATGTCTAATGGGAGTTAAGTTTAACGATTTCGACCGGGGTGCACTCGATCTTTGTTCTTGTCATCTTTCAATGACCAATAACGTCAAATTCGTCATGAAGAATTAGAATCCGTCGAACAAGCCGGTTATTATTTGTACAAGATAATTAGAGATAACAAACGTATTTGCGGTTCATCGTTCAAATATGTACGTCGATCCTGATGTTTGAATTTACACGAGCGCACGTACGTTCCTCTAAATACTCTACGAGCTAGCATGTTTTTGAAATGAGTAATGAAAATATAGAGAAAAAACAAAGTGATAAAAAAAATATATAAAACCAGTAAATGAATGAATGAATGAATGAATGAATATATATTACACTGTTTGATTATAAAAGAACCATTTAATTTTCTTTCTATTTTAAAGGCTAATGTTTAATTTAATATAAAATTGAATTTTGACAAATTGAGTAACTAGTATTTAATTGAGATTCCAATGAAAT